TCTGAGGGGGGGGGTCCTTAAATCTAGACGTATGCAATCAGAAAAGCACAGAACCGTTGTTAAAGCCTATATTTGGTGGAAATACCTATGATTGGCTATTCTCATGAGAAATTCGTAACTCAGTCAAAATCGATTCAAAACACTTCAGAATATAAGAATAAACTTCATTTAAAAAAATAATGAAACGTATTGCTGTTTTCGAAAAGATTTTATAAAGTTCTTCCGCAGTAAGGGAGCACCTTTTTTAGTTTTAGATCCATAGTCAGACTGAGCAGATAGAATGAAGCTTTCGCAAAGTTCTGAAAACTTGAACGCTCTGCCTCCTTCCTTTCTCAAAATATTCAAAATATCGGTAGCTTGAAACTTGGATAGGAAGCTCGAAAGACATGTTGGTTTTAAAGCTACTGCACAGGTAATCTGTTGAAAAACATGTTGAGACGACAATTGAGAAAAATTGGATAATGTTCTTTCTGAGAAATCGTACAGTTGTCTGAAATGATCCCATAGTTTTCTACCTCGGCTAAATTGAAAATGAGAGATAACTACCTACGTTTCTGATCATTTCCCCACGTTTCTATTTGTTTTTTGGCTCACGACTGCTAGAGACATATAAATTCATTGGCTCCCACACTTAGCTCATGAACAGTTAAGAAGTCGTCTGATTTTCACTTTGGAGAGAATAATTTGCGCTATCTATCCATAACAGAAGACAAAAAATATTTGAATGTCAACTTCTGGAATGTTGATTTTTGAAACCTAACGTCGGAGTTGATTTTTTAAAGACATGATCAAAAACTAGCCTCATAAAAGATCTTGAAAACGTATTCTTCATCGAACTATCCATCCTATCAAATGGCGAAATGTCTTCATTTTCTATTTCAAATGTTATTTCAAAAAGAGTTTTCTGTATTATAGAAGCGAATAATATGTCTGTAGTCTAAAACGTATAATACAAAGCTAAAGAAGGATTGATGAATTTGCATCTACAACTGGTGCATTATTAAACTGTCATAATTCAATATCGATATTAGGATGCGATGATGACGAAGTAGCTGATAGATGACAAAGGCGCTCTGTTTGCTCTGCAACTTGATTAGTAATGCGCGTGGTCATTTTTATGGCCTGCGCATGGGAAAATGTTAACTTTTCATGGAGAAAGCGAGTTTTCAGCAGTAGAACAGAAGTTCAGATCACGATTATATCCGATGGAATCCTGTAGTGATAATGTATCACCACTGTACCGCTGTTCACTCAAATTTGAGTAAAAACGAACTCCATCACTGACATTTGCTGCACTCAAAACTTCCTTGAGAAAAAGTTTATGACATACAATTAACAGATTAATATTCGTCCAAAGAATACTTGATAAAGTATTAGACAGAAATTAGGTGGTAAATAGTGCTCTTAACCCACCACCAACAGAAAGAAAAATAATTTGTACAGAAATGACAGATATAAAAAAATAGACAAAGGCATATAAACGTTTCATTGTACTCGTTTCTAATACAAGTGTTGATACTGTTGTTAAACATCCACAATATCCTTGAAGAATAGCCATTAAAACTTGTTTTTGTAAAAGATTATTATTTGCTGATGTATATATCATAATAGCTATAATACCAAGATATAAACAAGAGCCGGTAAAATTACAAATAAATGTTCCAAGGGGAAATTTCTTAAATCGAACATTTAAAAACGATAGTAGCCAACGAGTTAATGAACCAAATGGGGCAAACAAAACCGAATAATAAATGTATGTATTGTTAGTATTGGGTAATGTTACAATAATGGCTAAAATGGCTGGAATACTGAGAACGATTAATAGAGGAAATAGCCATAGACGTAAATTAAATGTATGAAATATCTGAACAGATGATGCTTTTTCTAGTTTAATTTCTTGCTGTACAGATTGTTGACCATCATGTTTTTTCTCTTTTTGTTGTGATAACGTTGTTAAAACAGCAAGATGGCGACCAAATAAAAAACCAGCAAATGAGGAACTAAATATGGATATTAACAGAAATAAATAATCGGACACTGGATATCTGCCATATACGGAGCCATACAATGCTAAGCCAGCATCATACATGACACCACTAAACGTTGTGATCGAACCGCACAGCCCTGTGGTTAAACCAATGTATAATGATAAAAAACTAAATGATAAAAAACAAGATGTGATCAGCGGATTCCAGTCAAAGGTTGTAAGTATTTTTCTAACAGTACCATAAACTCGACTATTCTGTTTTCTTTCTTTCGTCTGAATCGATTTTTGACTTTGTAGCTTTTCGTAGTTCCAAGATTTCCCCTCCATTTTAAGAGCTGAAAATCTCGGGTTGATCTTAAAATGCAGTTCTAATGCAGTTAAAACTCAATTCTAGGCGAATTTTTTACTGTTGTCTTTGTCTTTTAAAAAAATAAAAAGTTTCTGAAAAATGAAAAATTTTGCTGACGTTTCCGAAAACTTTTCTTTTTTACAAAAACAAAGACAAAAGTCAAAAGCTGGGCTTTATTACACCCAGAATTATGTCTTGGATACATTTTAAAATCCACCCGAAACGGTTAGCACCTAAAAATGGAGAAATCTTGGAATTATAAGCACCTGCTTTTTTTATCACCATTATAAGGATAATTCTAGGAAAATTCAGATTTTTATAGTTTAGCTTTACCTAGGCATGCACCAATACCAATCATTATTGAACACATTGTACAATATTATTGGCTATCCAATAATATTGTGTCCCAATGTTATTGTATACCCAATCTGTTGGGAC